TCCACCTCTTGGCTAACTGTCTGAGGACAATGCTCACGACCCAGGGGTGATAATGGGGTGCCTGCGAGCTGCCTGGGCAGGGGCTCAGCAGTGGGCAGCCTTGGGGAAGCTCAAATGGCAAAGAGGCCAACTTTCTCCACCTGGGAAAAGGCCCAGCTGTGTGGGGCTTCAGCCAGAGTCAGGGGAGACAGACGTGACAGCCCAGACAGGGGGCGGGGATCGCGAGGCTGGACAGGAGGGCCAAGTCGGTCATCCCTTCCTCCCAAACCCCGTTAACCTTTCCCCGTCTCATACCTTCCTCTGGATGGGTGTTGGCACCTTGTAGCCCTTCTTCATGATGCCCTTGAACACCGGGTAGCTCAAGCCTGGGAAAGACACAAGGATGGTCAGGGGGAGGGCAGCCCCCGCGGCACACCACGGAAAGCCAACCAGGACGGATGACCGTGTCATCAACGTCAAAAGCAAGAAGAAAAGAAAGGCGACAGAACAAAACTTAGGAGACAAACCTACCCCCTGGGGGGGATACACCTCATGTGGATTCTGACTTGAACACACTCATGAGACAACTTGGGGTCTCAAAGTGGCGGGGTCTCAGCCCTGCTGAGGATCTGTGCCTGTTGCAGGCGTGGTAAGGTCATGTGGGAAGTATTTAGGCATACAGAGAAGGGATGTCTGTGATTTGCATCAGAATCCTCCAGGATGCTGGGGACAAGCTGGGGTGGGGGGCGGTTTGTGGAGGAAACGGGACAGTTGACAATGGCAATGGGTACAGGGAGACTTACTGTTTTCTGTTTTTTTTAAATGTTTGAAATTTTTTATAGCTAAAAGAAAAGGGTGGGAAGTGGCCAGGGCCTGAGATGGGCGTGTGTATGGGTGCTGACCAATTGAGGCATGTGGCCCTGTGTGGGGAAGGAGGTGGCCTTTGGATACTGAACGTGACTTGGCGTTATGGAAATGGGAGGACAATGGGAGGCCTGGGGACAGGATGCACCGTGGTTGTAGCTTCATCTTTATGATCTGGAAAGGTGAAAAGTAGCCACGTGTAGATGTTTTTATTTGCTTTTTCTCTAATTATTGATAAAAGTTTAGCAATTTTAATATATTAATTGGCCATCCAAATTCCTTTTGTGAGTCGACTTTTCATTTTCTTCACCCAGTTTTCCATCAGGGTATCTTTTTCTTACTGATTTGTAAAAGCTCTTTGTATACTACAGATGTTCATCCTCTATCTGCCCCCAAAGTTGCAAGTATGTCCCTGATACAGCATTTACTTTAACTTAGTTTACATTGTTTTTCTGTAAATATACATCTAACCGAAAAAAAGTTAAATTAGACAATGTTCAGCTCATACTTAGAAAGGGCTTCTTTTTAAAATTATTTAAAAATATTCACCTTGATATTTAATCTTTGTGCCAGATGCTACTAATTTGTAAAGAGCAAGAAAGAGAGTTCATTCAGCATTCTTTCCTGCTAGCCAGGTGTCCCGATACCACCCACTACTTCACCTTTCCTCCCTCTCCTCTGAAATGTGTTTTGTCCTGCAGTAAATCCCTGAACGTCCTCACCTGTTCTGTCGCCAGCGCTGCCCTGAATCTGCTTTATCTGCTCTCTCACCGGGTCAGTCCTCAGTCTACCCAATGCCTACCACAGAGCTGGGCCTCAAGCAGACATCAGTACCAGAGCACAGAGGGCATGATGAGCCCCTGCTGTGACTCCCCCAAAGTTCTCGGATGCCAGGCTCACCCACCCATGGACTGGAAGCCTCCGGACTTCTTCTTCTTCTTGTTCTGGGCGCGTATCATCTCCCGCGTGTCTGGCTCCACGTCTGAGGTGCACTCCGAGGTGGGGAAGGTGGGCAGGGGTCTGCCAGGTCCCAGCTGGGAGGGAGGAACAGAGAGGCAGCGTCACGCCAGGCACAATGAGACCACTGGGGGAAGGGAGAGGGACTATCTTGTTGTGGGCACCCTTCCATTCAAGCCGATGATGCCCCCACCAGATCACGTGACTTCTCTGCTAAAGGGCTCCCCATGACTGGGCCCGGGCAGGGCAGAGGGTCAGAAAGTGGGCCGTGCAGACAGACTGCCTACGTTTCAATCACTTGCCAGTTGTGAGACCTCAGGCAAGAGACTTAATCTTCCCGAGTCTGTTTCCACATCTGGGAAACAGGGATGACAGACAAGAGCGTTTGTCGCACAGCACGTGTGAAGACTAAATGGGTAAGTGTAAAGCCTAGATCAGCACCCAGCACATAAATCGTGGTACTATCATCACTGTCATCCTGGTCTATCATCCAAAACCCTCAAAATTAAAAACTCTAGAGGGCCAATCAAAGCATGTACTGTGTGTGTGGTACTAGACTTCTCCAAGCTGCCCTGTCCCCCTCTCCCGAGCCCCCTTCTGATCCATCACCCCTCCCAGCTCTGCTCTCTCTAGTGCAGCCTCCTTCCTGCCTAGCCAGGACCTACTTGTCCTAGCATGGCTATATCCAACCCAGATACCTCCTCTGGGGAGACTTCGCAGACCACAGAGCTGTCCCCCTTCCTCTCAGAAATAACATTTATGGAGCACTAATTCATAATTATGGTTAAAACTTCTGTGGCCCTCGCTCTAAGCCAGGTGATGCTCTGAGCATTCATATAAAATTACCCCGCTTTTAATCCTCACGGCTACTCTATGAAGTAGGGACTATTAGCTTGTCCATTTTACAGAGAAGGAAACTGAGGCACAGAGTGATGAAGTAACCTGTCCATGCTCACACAGCCAGCAGGGATTTGAACCCTGGCTTCAGAATCTATGTTCTTTCGTCTGTGACCCTCTGTGGCCCCCTACAACTGTCTGGGTGAGAGCTGCAGTGTGTCTAGTGCAGTCTGTGAGCTAAGAACGGATTTTATATATTTAAAAGATTGTAAAAACATCAAAGAAGACAATGACTTTATATGGCCCCACAAAGCCTAAAATATTTACCACCTGGTCCTTAACAGGAAAAGTTTGCCAACCTCTGTTCTAGACATGTGAAAACAAAGCACCTGGAACCCACTGGTGCCCCAGCAATATTTACTGAATGAGTAGAATGCGTGAACACTGTAATTTAATCCTTTCATGAGTCTCTGAGGCACATATAATCCTCTGTCTTGTACGCATGTGTAAACTTCTGCCTTCTACAGATGTGGCACAGAGAGGTTAAGCAACATCTCCAAAGTCCCACAGCCAGTACAGGGTTGGGCCACATTTGAACACAGGACCGCACCAGGGCAAAGCTCTTCATCTGAACCATATCCGTGGGCTCTTCTTTGGCACCTACTACCTTGCCCTCCTGTGCTTTAGCAATTTCTCCACGTTTATAGAGCACCTACTGTATGCCAAGCACTGGCTCCCTTGGAGTGGGGAAACATAATCAGATCCAGTCTGGTCCCTGACCTGGAGGAACGTAGATCCCTCTCTTCATCTAAATACTCACTCTTTCATCTACCTACCCAGACCCCACTCTGTGCCAGGCACCGGCTGGGCACAGGGCTGTGGGAAATAATGGGCTTTTAGCTCTTTTGCCCCCTTGGTGCTCACACCCGACCATCCACCTTTTACATAGAGTTGGCACTCAGTAGTGGAAACAGCACGGGCCCTGAAACCAGAGATTTGAATCCTGGCTCTTCCGCTCACAAGCTGTGAAGTCTTGGTCAAGTTCCTTAACCCCTCTAGACCTCAGGGTCCTCTGGAAAATGGAGATGGCAGCACTTAGCTCACAGAGCTGGTATGAGGATTACATGGTAAGGCTTGTAAAGTTCTTAGCGTGGAGCCTGGCACATACTAAGCGGTCAGCAAACGCGAGTTTAATTTACTATTAGTTATCCAGGGTCTTGGGGGCGTCACTGTCTCAAGCCAAGGGGCCCGGCCTCCGCTTAATTCAACCCGGCAAGAATCCCCCAAACTCGGAAGTCAGTGCTTCGGCACCCGCACTTTTCATTGGACCAAAGGGGGCTACGACCCGCCCCTTGGGCAGGAGGTAGCCAATGAGGGGCGACGACCAAAAGCCGGCCAGGAAGGCCCGAGGGCCCCGGCCCCTGAATGCAGAGGCTCTAGCGTCGGCAGCCGGGACGTGACCCGCACAGAGACACGTGCTCAGGCTGGCGGTCCTGTCCCCGACCCCCAGCCAGCCGACCTCTCCCCAACCCTCAGCCGTGCCCACTCCCCAGCTGGGGAAACCGAGGCTGCGGGGCGATGCGCGGAGCCGGGGCCCGGGCTCCTAGGTGTGCCCCGGCCCCGCACTCCTACCTTCTGGGCCCGGGCGTCATCTTCCGCCTGGATCTCAAACTCGCCGTCCTCCGAGTCGCTGCTGCGGGCCTGGGAGGCTGCGCCTCGGCGCTTCCGCAGCCCCTTCTTTTTCCTCCACTGGGCCATGGCAGCGCGGGACCGAGGTCCGGCCCCCGGGCGCGTGCCGGCCGCCATGCGGGCCCCGGTGCAGGGAACCGGGAGGGGGCGGGGCCTGCGGGGACGTACCAACGGCGCGGCTGGGCGGGGGGAGCACCGCGTCTATGCGGCCCCCGCCTGCGCCACCTCCCCTTCTGTAGCCCCAGGAGGATTGGCGCGCACGCGCGGGCACACCTCTGACTGGCGTGAGAGTGTCATCTCCGAGGCTTCGGGGAAACTCCAGGGGCGTCCGGAACGGGGTGCACTCCCCCGTGCCAATGGTTCCGGCCGCGCCGCGCCGTCCCGCCCCTCGCTGGTTGCCGTGGGCTGCGCGCGCCGAGCACACGTCTCTAGGGCCTGGCTGCCGCCTGAGTCCATCCCCTCGGTTCCCGGGGCTGCGGCTGAGGCGGGGGGTGGGGGCTGGGGGCGGCCCGAGGTGCCTGGGCTCCCGGGCTTCCCGGGGTCCGGGCTGCAGATAAGCTGGGATCTCGGTGGCATCTTCAGAGGAGTTCAGACCTGGTGAGGAGGGGGCGCTGAGGTTGCAGCAGACATGCTGGAGCTGAGATGCTCAGGTAAGAAAATAACTCAAGATTGCAGGGACCTCGAACATCCACCGGGGCATTGACTTGGGGAACAGGGAATATGGGGCAGTTGGAGGGATGGGTGTGACCCGCCAGTAGTAGAATGGTTAAGTGCATAAGCTCTGCACTCCTCTGTCAGGTTGAGATTTCTCTTCCACTGTTTTAGCTTTATTAGGTGCGACTTACAGGTGTGACTTCGGCTTCTGAAGCCTCAGTTTTGTCATCTGTGGAATGGACATAACCGAAGCTACTTCGAAGGACTGTTAAGAGGATTGCGTGAAACAATGCTTGTGAAGCTTTTTGCGCAAGGTAGGCATGCGATAATGCTGGTTATTCACCCCATAAACATATACAGGATATAAGGACCTGCCCTGTCTCCCGCATCCCACTATGCTAAGTTTTCTCGATGGTGCCAAAACAGGCACAGGCCCCATCTCTTTTTCATCCCCCATTCAACATTGAGCACTGTATGCTGGGAGTGCACATTTATTCATTAAATATTTGCCAGTAGCGCTCCTCTCCCTATTGTTGTGACAGCCAAAAGACAGATGAACAAATTTCTGAAGTCTCCTCTGGGTTTGGCAGCTCCCCTTTTGTCCTTGGGTTGGGAACTTAAGAGACAGCCCATCTTCCTGTGCTGGCACCAACAATGACAGGGGTGCCACCCTGACCCCCTTTTACAGGGAGCCCTGGAGACAGGACCTGGCAGGCAAAGCATGCGTGCTATCACACAGAACCATGGGCAGTGTGAAGACCCCTGTGGAGCTGGCCGTCAGTGGGATGCAGACCCTCCATCTTCAGCACCGTTGCCGGGGCGGCCACCGGGTCAAGGCCAGGGCGTCCTACGTGGATGAGTCTTTGTTTGGCAGCCCTGCGGCTACCCGGCCCACACCACCAGACTTTGACCCACCCTGGGTGGAGAAGGCCAACAGAACCAGTGGAGTGGGCACAGGGACATCACGGGCCTCAGGGGCCAACGGGAGCTGCAAGACCCCCTCCTCCAGGGGCAGCACCCCAACCCTCACACCAAGGAAGAAAAACAAATACAGGTAACAGGATGGGGAGATACACTTCTGTACTCATGAAGCCACCTGGGTTCCTATTAGAACCCTGCTGTTGACATGCTGTGTGACTTTGGGCAAGTACCTTGACCTCTCTGAGCTACAGTTTCCTGTTGTGGAAAATGGAACCTAGTGGGACTATTGAGAGGAAATGAAATGAGGTGTGTACAGGGCTTGGCACGATACCCTGACAGGAAGCGCTCAGTAAGTGATAGTGACAATGGTTGAACACCATTTCCAAACGCCACAGACCAAGCAAGTGAGGCCCAGGGAGGTCAGGTGATTTGCCCAAGACCACAGAGCAATTCGCATAAGAATATTAATGTGGTTGATCCATGAAATGACATAGATGTGGTGGGTCCCAGTTTTAGCAAGTCGTTTCAGAAATGGTTTTGCTGCCTTTTCACGAACAAGCTAGAAAAACAGAAGTTGATACTAATAGTTACTATTGTAAATTAATAAATTAGATTATTTGGATTATTTCAGGTTGATACCAGCATGGAGGGAGGTGTCTAGTGGTGGGCCACAGGGCCCTATCTTGTTTATTGTTATCGGTGGTTTGGACAAAAACACAGAAGACTGGAATATTAGTCATTTACAGCTGCCATAATAAAATACCATAGACTGGGGAGCTTAAACAACAGAAATTAGTTTTCTCACAGTTCTGGAGGCTAAAAGTCCAAGTTCTAGGAGCTAGCAGGCTGAAGCCTCTCCTTGGCTTACAGACAGCCACCTCCTCACCCTGTTCTCGCATGGCCTTTTCTCTGTGATCACGTGCATTCCTGTTGTCTCCCCCCTTATAAGGACACCAGTCCTGTTGCTTCAGAACCCACCTTTATGACCTCATTGAAGCCTAGTTATCTCTTTAAAATTCAGTGTGAATTTTGGGAGGACGTAGTTCAATCCGTAACAATTAGCCAATCATATTTAGGGTTCATTCTGAGCCAGGAGGGGCATAGGTTGGTAGAAGTAAAAATGGGAATGGTGCCTATTTAAGGAGATAAAATTCAATGAGAGAAAAGCAAGGCTCCGTTATTATTATGCCAGCTTGAGCGCCATGCATCTGATGAGGGGGCTGTAAGGTAGGGTCAGGTTGACGTTAGCAGTGTTGACACCTACAGGGTAGCTGAACATGCTAATGTTAAGTAAGTGTGGGCTGCATTAACAGAGGTATGGTGTCCATGACGAGGGAGGTCAACTCCATGCTCTCCTGGAGAATAGACTTTTGTGCAGGATGCTGACAAGTAGAAGTTGTCAAGTGAGAATGTACATAAGAGAGAGAGATGCTGTTGAGTAAAACCTTTGGGGCCGGACAGACATAGGCAGCAAGCAAATGTGGTTTGAAGCGGCAAAAAGTTGACTTTTCAAAGACTTGCAGTTTGAACACAGAAGCACTTTCAGTCCTGGCCAAAAGCCATGGAGCTGACACCTCATAGGTGTGCCATGAATATTTGTGAGATTAATAGAAAAAAATAATTGCTGAGTGAATCTAATTAAAGGTGAGAAGCCTGGAAGTCACTTATATCTGATATGCTGATCCTGGAGCTTGGGCCCTTGAGTCAGGCTGGATTTGAATCTTGTCCCTATACCCTCCTTATTATAGGGGGCCTTCCCCTCCCTATGCCTCCTTGTCTTTGTTTGTAAAGTGGGATTATCATATCTCCCTCCTGTGGATGTTTGTGAGAGATAATGAGATGATGCATATGACGTGCTGAGTTCTGGGCCTGCACATGAAGAGCCCTCAGTAAATATTCAAAAATTTAAAAAGCTTCTCTGGTGATGAGGCCAGGTCAGCGTTATAACACAGGTTCAAACTGAGCGCCCTCTCGAGTCCAGGCACCGCGCTGTATCATTTCAAATATAGTGGGACGGGCCACAGGACTGCAGAGGGTTCGTCTGACAAGGCCACTAGGGAGAAGGAGAATTGGGGGTTAAAAAAAAAAAATAATAAGGTAAAGACCTGTAAAGATTAAGGTTATACTTACTGGGACTCTTACATGCAAGTGACGTGGAAGACTTACCCAAACTGGCTTCAGCAGAAAAAGGATGTTTAGGGCTTGTTTATCAGGGGCTCAAACTGTTGTTGGATCCTGTCTCCCTCTTAGCACAGCTTGCCCCGACATGTTGCATCCGAGCCAGCCACCAGCTGCCCTTCTATCCTGCTGGCTTCTCAAGGCCAGTTGGCAGACAGACATCTTTCCTGGTAGTTTCAACAAGGGTCCTAAGGCAGGCGCTCATTGGACAGGATGGGTCATATGGCCTTTCCCAAGCCAATCAGTGTGGCCAGGAAGATGGAATATGCAAATTGGCCAGGCCTGGAAAAGGGGGAGGTCAGGATGCAGGGGACTGGCTGCGTGGCAGGGGAAAAAACAACAGAGATGGGGTTGGTGGGACACCAGAGGGCTGTGGCCTCGCTGTGGGTGCCAGGCTGGGAGACAGGGACTTTGGGATCTACAGGCAACCCTCGCTGCTACTGGAGGTGCCTGGCAGCGGGTGGGGGCTTAAGGTTTTTAGGGTTTGTTCATTCCCCCAGCTCACTGCATTTCTCTTCCCTTTTCCAGACTGATCAGCCACACTCCTTCTTACTGTGATGAGTCGCTATTTGGCTCCCGACCTGAGGGCACCAGCTGGGAGGGCCCGTGGATGGCAAAGGGGGATGCTGCCAAACTCCATGCCCTCTTCTGGACACCCCCAGCCACCCCTAGGGGCAGCCAGTCGCCCCGCCCCAGGGAGACCCCGCTGCGAGCCATTCACCCAGCTGGTCCCTCGAAGATGGAGCCCGAGGTGGTGGCAGACTCCCGGAAGCTGTCCACAGATGGGTTAGACTCTCTACACCCTCGGAGGCGGGAACGTTCCCATTCCCTTACACACCTGAATGTCCCCAGCACTGGTTGCCCACCTGCCAGTGCCCCCCACACCAGTGGGCCTCGGGATCCCAGGCCTTCCCTGTCGGGGGTGACCTTCCAGAACCCTCAAGTGACGCCCAGGGCTCGCTCAGTTCGTATTTCAGTGCCAGGCAACCCCCAACAAGGTGGGGCCACCCAGAAACCAAAGCCCCCTTGGAAATGAGTTTCTTGGTCCTCTCATCAGGTTTGCCTATGGGGTCACGGTGAGGGGCCCAGTTTCAGAGTCTCCCAGGTAACCATGAGACATTGGAGAAGCGCTCAGGGGGGTAGACATAGCAAGAGTGGACAGTGCCCCCCTTTATGCTGACATCCACCAGTTTCTTCCTACCTTTTACTCCATGATTTGATGCCTGCCCCTTGAGATGCCTGTTCCAGTTTTGCTATAGCCACAGGCCGAGTGAGTGCCAACCCAGGGGTGCCCCTGGGAGGGGCCCACCACTCCCCCATCACTCCCACAACATCGTCTTGTTGCCAAGTGTGACTAAATGGCATGATCGTCAGCCTGGAGGGTCCCTTCTTCCTTCAAGCCAAGCTTCCTGCTCAGGATGAGTTTCCAGCTGAGTCTGGAGTTTTCCCAGGCACAGCGAACGGACCAAGGGGAACAGAGGATCTGGGTGACGCGTGGGTGGACATGTTTTTATTTTTAATAATCATGTATTTATTTTCACATATTAAAAATATATCAGTAGCTCATCAAAGCCATGACTGACTAATTTTATTTTCCTCAGGGCAAGGCCAATAAAGGCCTGAGTAGAATTAAATAACAAAAGATAAATACAATGAGGAAGTGGCAGAAATCATAACTGTGGCGAGTTGACAACTGAAGTTTGAGAACATGGGCCTCTTACATTTCCCACATTTTCCCAAAAAACAGAGTGACGAGGAGGACTCTGCCAAGTGGAGAAGTCCAAGAAGGCCAGAAAGTTACATATGGCATCTGGAGAGCACTCAGAACAGAGAGGCGTAAGCAGTCCGGGAGCGCCCTGCTGTCTGGCTCTGCTGCTTGTCATCTGCACCGCCCTGGGTCAGGTCACTTATTCTGCTCGGATGGAGTTATACTCAGAATCCCAGGATCCTGCTGGATTTGGGTGGGGGCTAGGCTTTGGCCTCTTTGTGTCCCCACTTACCTCCAGTGCACCTCCAGGAAGCACTGGGATTCTAGAGAGCCCAGTTGGAAGCCACATCATTGGTTCTGTACCTCCACTTCCAGGAGAGGGAGAGTGGACATGTGGGGGGAGCAGTCTGGGAGGGACCAGCAGTGGCCAGGACCAGGGACACCCATGCAGACGCTTACAGGGGTCAGGTGGGCCATGAGCAAAGCAAGCCAGCCGCACCCTGGCACAAACACTTTGTACATATGTAGGATGTTTAAACTATAATTTTCACAAAGAATTAGTTTCCTCCTTGGTTTCACCGGAGACACCCAGCTCTCCGATGCCTTTATCTCCTCGCCCTATGTCATAATAGATGAACCAGAAATGCCTCTCCTCCCGAGTACACTAAAGAGGGCGACGGCCCAAGTGTGATGGTACTGGGGCAACTGACACAGGCCGTGTGTTTGGAAGGCAGCTGGGAGTGGTGGGGACTGGGGCAAGCTGCAGTGTCTGCCATCTAAAAGGGGCTGCTGCTCGGTTCTCGAAGACGGGCGGACCCCAGGGTGTCTGGATGAGATGTTTCCAGAAAAAGCAGAAAGCTGGATTTCTCTAGGACAGCCCCGACCCGAAAACCTGATCCTCCTGGAGTTCTCTGCCTGCCCGCCCCGCGCCCCCCCCCACCGCCCCCCAACCTCCTGCAGGCAGCCGTGAGCACAGCCCGCCGCCCCGGTGGCTGATACGTGTGTCCACTGCAGCCATGGCCCAGAGTCTGGGGCCAAGAAGGCTGCAGCCCGCGGTCTGGCTTCCCACTGAGGCTAAAGGAAGGAATAGCTCTGTGCTGACACCCTGGCCTGCATGCTCTCCCCATGGGAAAGGCATCGACATGTATGGTGACACAAACAGCCAACAGCGCTGGCAAAGTGACGTTTATTTATAGGATGTGCTTTAAAATGGCTTCTAACTTTGACAAACCGTTCAAGCCAGGAATGGCAAGGCTCCCCCTCCTTGTGGCCTCCCAGCCTGCTCTCTGGGAAGTGAGTGGTGTGGTGGCACAGGCCAGGAGCAGGGCCCCCAGGGGGGGACTCATTTCTTGGCCTTGGCCTTGGCCTTGCCCTTGCCCTTGCCTTTGCCCTTCTCCTTGACCCTCCCTTTGCTCTTGCTCCGCTTCTTCTTCCTGGACTTGAGCATGGAGCGGACCAGGTAGCCCTTCCACAAAGCCTGGATGAGTGTGGCAGCCCGCACCATGCGCAGCATCTCTTGCTCGGCCTCTATTCTCTTCTTGGCATTGACCTCCTGCTCGGCCTGGATCTGGGAGAACTCCTCCACTAGTACGTTGTGCTTCTGCTTCAGCTCCTCCAGCTGGACCTTCTCCTCCTTATGGATGATGTCAAGCTCCTCGTACTCTTCCTGGGATGAGGGTCAGGGGGTGGGGATCACCAAGCATAGGGTGCCACCTGCCACCCTCCCCCACATGCGCCCTCACCCCATCCCAAAGGGGCTTCCACCCCAACAGCGCCGTCTGCACTACCTTTTCTGCATCCAAGGCCCGGATGAGAACAGGAGAGGTGATGTGGTCCATCCCCACTTGAGGTGGGACCTGACTAAAATCATCTCAGGAAGAAGGAAAGAACCCAGGCCGGTGGGTTGGGCAGACTGGGTTTCGCATCCCAGCTTGGCTGTGCCCTGAGGGGGCTTCATTTGTCCTCTGAGACATGGGGACAATTCCAAACCCATGAAGTGGGTGGGAGCTTTCTACAGGATTAAATGATGGGGTGGACACAATGTGCTGGATGTGGTGCTAGGCACATAGTGGGGACATAAAAATGCAAGTTCTGGGGTGCCTGGGTGGCTTAGTCGGTTAAGCATCCAACTCTTGATTTCAGCTCAGGTCATGATCTCAAGGTCATGAGATCGAGCCCCACGTCAGGCTCTGTGCTCAGCGGGGAGTCTGCTTGGGATTCTCTCCCTCTCCCTCTGCCCCTCCCCTCACTCATGCTCTCTCTCTTGCTTAAATAAATAAATAAATCTTTAAAAAAAAAATGGAGGGGCGCCTGGGTGGCTCAGTTGGTTAAGCGTCTGCCTTTGGCTCAGGTCACGATCTCAGGGTCCTGGGATCCAGCCCCGCATAGTGCTCCTTGCTCTGCGGGGAGCCTGCTTCTCCCTCTCCCTCTGCCTGCTGCTCCCCCTGCTTGTGATCTCTCTCTCTCTCTATCTCTCTCTCTGTGTCAAATAAATAAATAAAATCTTAAAAAAAAAAAATGGAACTCCTGTCACTAAAGCTGTGTGTCTCACAAAGATACACAGAGTGGAACTTTCTGAGGTGACTGAGTCCCAGTTCTTCCCTATGTCCAACTATTGCCTCCTGCTGCAATTTACACCTGTCTCCCTCTCTCCCTTCCACTCACTTACCAAGCATCTGCCAGAAGCAAACAGCTGAGTAGACTCGGTCTCTGCTGACGAGGAACCCACCACCCTCATTGGGACCAGAGAAACAAGAGCACGGCCTCTGAAGTCCCTCCTCCCTGGAGCATTCATGATCAGAGAGAGCAAGACCCCGACTTGCCCCTCCCCTGACTTGGGACCACTCAGAGGCTGATGTCATCCCCAGTGCTTGCCAAACCTTCCCGGCCCTGAAGCCGGGACCATGGGCCCCAGTGTTATCACAAAGCTGCGGGGTGGGGGGAAATGGGCTTGAGGGCACCCCGTTTTCCAGGCCACCATTGCCTCAGCACTTCCTCCAGGCCAGATCCCGTGCTGGGGGCAAGCATTTGTGACAATGGTGCCTCACCGCATCCCCATCACGGTCCCAGCACGGTCCTTACTGCCTCTGTTGATCACAGGCAGAAGCAAGCTCTGAAAGGTCAAGCCCCTTGCTTCAGGTCACCCAGCTGACAGGTGACACTAGAGTAGAGCCTCCAGGTGATAATGGGGACCATCTTCACTGCGCTATCCCAGCACGTGGCACATCTCAGGCCCACAGTGGAAACTTTCTGGGTGACTGAGTGGAGTAGGGGAGGCAAGTTCATCCTGAGTCTGCAGGGAAGGAGCCCCGGCTGTGCGGCTGGCAGGAGCTGAGCACGGAAGGCACTGAGAGTATGGGATGTGGACACTAGATGGAGCCAAGATCGTTGGGCCTGGTGACAAGCACTTAGTAGCTTCCAGCTTCTGGCTCCTTCCTTTTCCATCTCTCCCTTTGCTGCCCCAGGCCAGACAAACCTGAGGCCTAAGGAAAGGGGCAGGGAAGCCTGTCTGGGGAGGCCCAGAGCTTGGCACAGACTATGGACCATTCCTAGAGGATCATGGGCAATGCACTCGAGAAACTGATTGCAGCACAAATACCTGCTTCTCACCCATCTCCATATCATACTTCTGGATCCAGTTCTCGATTTCGGTCTCCACTTTATATTTCTTCTAAAAAAATTCAATGAGTCAGTGTTTGATGGATTAATATGAATAGTAAACTGCACCAAGCTTGCTCTATACCAGGGTTAATGCCTTGCCCACCGAATCTGCCCAACAAGGTAGGTTCTCCTCCATTTCACAGATGAGGAAACTGAGGATCAAATGTGCTAACTCATTTGCCCAAGATCACAGAGCTAACAAATGGTAGAGCCTGGAATTGGAAGCCAGAGATCTGACTCCAGAACATTCTAGGCAGAGGGAGTAGCAAGTGCAAAGGCCCTGAGGTAGGAACAGGCTTGTGGTGTTTAAGAATAGACATTGAGCCAGTGTGGCCGGAATGGAGTGGCTGAGGAGGAGCGGGGTCCCATGGAGGTCAGAGTGAGAAGCTGTGTCATGGAAGGAAGTGTCAGCAGGGAAAGGAGTTTAGATCCTAGTGTAACGGAGAGGGGAAGCCATTGGATGGATTGAGATGTAGGAAAGGGACATAATCTAATTTGTTTGTAAAAGATCAGCTCCCATACATACCATGGAATGTTACTCAGCCATAGAAAGGAATGAAGAATTGATAAATGCTCACGTGGATGAACCTTGAAAACATGATGCTAAGTGAAAGAAACCAGACACAAAAGACCACATATTGTGTGATTCCATTTACATGAAGAGTCCAGAACAGGCAAATCCATAGAGATGGAAAGCAGATTGGCAGTTGCCAGGGGCAGGAGCAGGGGGAATGGGGAGTGGCTGCTAATGGGTCCAGGGTTTTATCTGGGGGGATGGAAATGTTCTGGAACTATCCAGAGGTGGGGGTTGTACAACACTGTGAATGTACCAAATGCCACCGAATTGTTCCCTTTACAATGATCAATTTTATGTTATATGAATTTCACCTCAATAAAAAAGAAAGAAAGAAACCAGCTCCCTAATCCTATAGAGCAAGAGCTCTTCCCTTGGACACCATGGACAGGCTGGCTTTAGGGGGCCTGTGTCCCCAAGAATCATCCACCAGTTGTGTGTAGGTGCATCTGTGCCTTCTTAAGGAGGAGAGGCCCACGGCTTCCACCAAATGCTCAAGAGCCGTGACATTAAATGAGAACTGGGAACAAGGGTTAGAGAAGGTGCCCTTTGCGAGGAAAGAGATCTGGAAGCAAGCTGGGTGTGTGCACGGTGGGGCTCTGTGGAGATGGTGGAGAGACAAAAGAAGAGATGACATTTACTGAACACTTCCTATTGAGTCTCATTAATTCTCCGAACAACCCGTTAGCCCAGTCTGATCACTTTCATCTTAAAGATGGCGAAACTGCGGCTGGAGGGCATTATGAAATTCGCCAGAGGTGTATGAGCACCTGCACGTCCTTTGTGCGACAAGGTGGGTATTATCACCCCTGGCGGGGGGAGCTTCGAGGGGCGGTCGGCTCAGAGTAGTTAAGGAACTTGCCCAAGGTCACACAGCCAGTATGCTGCAGGATGGGCCAGTCTCTCTGCCCCTCCCCTGCCCCGGGGCCTCCCTTGTCCTCCCCGCTCCCCCCTGCTCCCTGCCGTCCCGGGCACCTTCCTCAGCGCCTGCTCTGCCTCCCGGTTTTCCACAACCAGGTTGTGGTATTGGGACCTCAGCATCAGTAACTCCTGCTGGATCTTGGCCACCCTGGCCTGTGAGGCCCGGAAGTCGGCCTTCTGCTGCTTCTCGGCCTCCTGCTTGGTGCGAAGAAGGTTGTTCTCCGAGAGCTTGAGCACCTGGTGCAGGTGGTTTTTCAGTTCTTGGATCACAAAGTTCTCTTTCTCCACCTGGGCCGGGAAGATGAGAGGCTCCGTTACTCCCTCCTAGATGCCTGATAATCCCAGGAGAACCGGCATTCCTGCCCGCTCCCGAAGGGCCGAACAGGCGACCTGCCTTATTACCTCGCAGATTCCTACCCGTCACACCGTGGGGGGACAGAGACGGCCTGCTTACAGACAAGGAAACTGAGGCTCAAGGGGGTTGAGTCATCCATCTGGGGCTGTACAGCTGAGCAGGGACTCGAGGCCACGTCTGTCTGATTCAGAGCCCATGTTCTTGGCCGCCCCCCTCTACTTCCTGGCTGGAGTGATGGGCACAGGGGAGAGGCTGCCGGGCAGGTCTGGGACAGTAGTGGCGGTCCTGCCCGGGGCACAGAACGGAAGTGCTCAGCAGGCAGAGGCACCTGGCGCCATTTATGAAAGTAGGAGATACGCAAACTATGGGGATTGCCACCCACTGACACTCGAGGGCCTGACTTGTCCCCTGCCCTCAGTTGATAGTAAAACAGGAACGGGGGTGGAGGATGGGGCCGTTTTGTAAATAAGCTCCAAAGGATGGTCCCAAGCCCTAGAGTCTCCCTCTGAGCACATCAGTGCTGAGGCTGGCTCATGCTGGGCGCCTTGGGCTGGGCTGTGGGGGTCTGAGTTCCCTTCCTGCATGCAGGCAGCGTGGGGCGGGAGGTGCCTCTGGGGCAAGCCTATCCTGTGGGCAAGGCTTCAGGCTCTAGGTGTTGGGTTCTAGAGCAGGCAGTATTTTCAGCAGTCAGGGCTTTTCTTGACCCCACAGCAGCCTAATTGGTGTCACCCCCTCGTTTTACACTGAGATCCAAGGCACATGATAAAATCTGCCCACCTGGAAAAATGGAATTTGACCCCAGGTCTGTCCAACTTGGGTGCCAGAGCTGTTTCCACCACCTGAATGGGACCAACAAAGCCATTCGGGGCCCCTCTCCCGGTCCCTCACTGGCACCCTTCTAACCTGCGAGTGGTCTCCCCTGACTGAGCACCCAAGAGCCTGTCACCTCTCCACTCAGAAAATAGTTTTCAGGGGTGCCTGGGTGGCTCAGTCGGTTGAGCATCTGCCTTCGGCTCAGGTCATGATCCCGGAGTCCTGGGATCGAGTCCCACATCGGGCTCCCCGCTCAGCGAGGAGTCTGCTCTACTCTCAATCTCTCTCTCTCTCTCAAATAAATAAAGTCTTAAAAAAAAGAAAAAGAAAAAGGAAGAAAATCGTTTCTATTCCCCTGTTTTGTGCCAGGCTCACTGGGGACATGACAGGGGGCCAAAAGAGACAAGGTCATTGTCCTCTTATGAGGATGCCAGACCCACATCAAATCAACAAATAATTATATAAACATTTATCAACATACTCTGATGAATGTCTGAAAGGACAAAGTCAGTGAGAACATAAGGAAGGGGGGATGGCCTGAGCCAGTGCGTGGGGGAGGGAGGGCGGCACATAGCTTCGGAGGGCCTCGAGCTCTGTGCATCATGGGGAGGATGAAGGTGGAAGTGTCCAAGGCAGCTCTGGCTGGCTGCCCCTCAGGATCCATCCCCCCCACCCCTGGAAAGGCTGGGGAGCAGAATGCTTCCCTGGGAATGTGGCCCCAGGGAAAGAACACCTTTCCCAGCATCCCTAGCCACTGGGTATGGCTAAGAACTGTGCGGTGGGCTACTTCCACCGGCAAAGATCAGGGCCCTCCTCCTCTTTCTTCTACCTGCTGGCTGGACCAGTGGTGACATGATGGGGGGCTTCTGGGTCCACAGTTAGAAGTCCTGTGGGGGACACAGCAGAAAGGTCAGACAGAAGGAGCCTGGACCCCCGACAATTTCACGAGGCAGGGTTTCCGTGCCTGCTCCAGCTTTTCTACTAGAGAGAAATACATTTCCATCTTGACTAAGCCACTATTATTTTGGGTCTCTGTCTCGGCAGCCAGACCTATACTTAGACACCACCTCACAGGGACTTTGTAAGGCCTTAGTGAGAAAATGTATGTAAAGCATAATACATAGTCTTATGGCCCAAATGGTTATTAGGTTGGGATCACGTTATCATTTCCCTTCTTAAAAATTCTTCTAGAGCTTCCACCTGTCCCATCTGCCCCTCATCCTCAAAACAGAGGTGACATTCTTTGATCAGGCCTAAAAGGCACGACGTGATCTGCTGGCAAGGCCTAAAGTATTTACTATCCAGCCCTCCATAGAAAAAGTTTGCCCGCTGCTGGCCTGGCAGGTTCCTGCTGCCCCCTCTTGCCTTCCTCACTCCCCTTCATTCTTCCTGTGTTGGCTTTGACGTCTCTGGCCCTTTGGGTCTAAGCTCGGTTCTCTTGTGGCGCTGTCTTCTAGCACTCTATGCTTATCCTTCATTGTACTTCTCAAAACTGTAATGAAATCAGCTCTTTAAGACCTACCTCGCATGAGGCGGGGGCCATGTGGACTCAGGCATAAGACCTGGTACCTGGCAAGTGCTCACAACATTTGTTGAGTGAATGAATGACAGCAGGCATTTCAATCACTGAGGAAAAAAGCCCAACCGCCAAAAGGTCTGGCTCCTCCGTGCAGCTCCTTCCACAACCTGACCAATGCCATAAAGCCATACCTCTGTGTCCCTGCTCTTCATGCTCGCCGCCAATTCATTTTCAAGAGTCTCAATGATCTCTTGGTTCCTCCTGTTCCGTCTGTTGATATCCTGTATGAACTGAGTCTTGTCTCTAGCTTCCACGGGACTAGTGAGTAGCTTCTCAAACAGGAAACCCCGCAGTTCTATCAGGCAATCAATGAAATTCTGGGCTTCAGCGCTCCTGCTCAGGGTGTGCATCTGCAAGAGCCTCACCACCTGTGGGTTATTGAGCAAGAGTCTCAGGATGTCCTTGGTGGATTCTTTGATCTGTTGCATAAGGGGCAGGAGGTGGGATTTCTGCAGTTCTTTGGAGAGGAAGCGGTCTCTGAGCCACCCTTCTTCCTCAAACTCTTCTTCCTCCTGCATTCGCCTTTCTTTCTCCTGCAGGTAAACGACACTGTCCAGGAGGCTGTGGCAGATCTTCTCGTGCTCTCTCACGGCCTTCATGATGTCCTCCCCCAGCATCCCCTCCAGAGTCTCGTAATTGGCACTCACATCAGACAGCAGGGTCACCAGCTCCACCTTGTGGATGGTCTCATCCAGTACGGACATGACCCTCTTGGTCTCAATGGTGGTAAGTTTGGACTTAGAGGGGACCAAGGGTTTTAGCAGGGAGGCTGGCTTCTTGGATGGCTCTGCTGTCAGCCTCATTCTGTTGATGTCGGGGCCCTGGTAGAGAGGGGCCACACCGAGGACATCTAGAGCCATTTTCTGAGCCATCTCCTTGCCTCCGTACGCCCTCGGCGGCACCAGTCTCCGGCTGTTATTGTCTCTGGCGACCCTGCGGAAGAAGGAGTGAGTGGTTAGTTGAGCTGTGCTGCAAGGATATGGCTGGTGTGGCCATGGCAGCCACACACAGTCGACGCTGAGTTCATCCCAGGTGCCCCGCAGCAAGTACGCAGACCCTCTCACCGAAAGCAGTTTCTAGCTCTGTGATGGCATCGGGCTGCAAGGGTGGGAGGACCAAGTGGAGAGGCATCAGGCAGGGAACACCATTCTGTTGAAGTGACTCAACTATGGACGATATTAAGTACCCACTGAAATGGATTTGTTCAGCCGTTTACAGTAATGAGCATTTAAATGCAACAGATATCATTTCAGGTGACTTCACAGGAATGAATAAAAGTCAATGCTAGTGGACTTTTCTTTCTTTCTTTTTTTTAAAGCATCTAAATACAGAAACCGAGTTACATGGGTGATGGAAAGAGTTGAGAGGCTAACCAGGGAAGGGGAAAAGCCACCCAGCCAATGTCAATGGCAGGAGGCCACCACAGAAAGAGGTGGTGGGGAGCTTGGGGACAAAGGTCACCCTGGGGGAAGTTGGAACCACAGCCATTTCCTGTCAAGCAGGAGTTACAGCTCCCAAGGAGCGGGGGCCACTGCAGCCTGAGGCAGAGCAAACGATGCAGCTGGGAGCAAATGAGACAAGGACCAGCATAGCACCTCCACACTGGTTTTTAAGTGTGGACGGCAAACATCAGGGTGGAGATGAACAAGGACTTGGAAACACAATTTTTAAAACCTGTTTCACTAAACGCGATGTTGTATCCTGGATTGGATCCTGGAATGGAAGATGGACACTAGTAGGACAACATAAGATCCAAACCAAGCTGATAGCATGGTTAGCAGCATTGTACCAATGCTAATTTCTTGCTTGTGAGGGACACGTCACGGCTATTTAAGATGTTAACATTGTGGGAGCTGAATGAAGGGCATTTGGGAATCCTGAACTATCTTTGCAACTTTTCTGTAAATCTACAATTATTACAAAATAAAAGGCTTATTTAAAATTAAAGACGCTCAGAAAAATGTAAGGCAGCAAATCAGAGATCATTCTGTGACGTTGTCCGCATGGCACGACAGCTGAGTACTAGCTTTCAGTAGCCCTGCTTGGGTTCAGACCCTTGCTGGGGGACCTGGGGCTGGCTGTCTAATCCCCCTAAGCCTGGGCTTCCTCGGCCATAAAACAGGGATCCTACGATTCCATGGGAAGTTTCTAGCACAGGGCCTGGACATTGTGAGTACTCAGTAAATAATAACTAGCATGATTAGCCCAGGGAAACTGAGATCTCAAGTCCAGGACTCTGGTGATTTCCTCGTCTGAATGTCTGGGCTTGGCTGGAGATCCAGATGTACCTGCCCAGGACTGGCTGGGCCTCCCAATGTACCGTGTCTAAGAGGGACCCCACCATGTCCCCATCCCTCACCCTGCTCCTTCTTTATCCCTCGTCCTGATGACTAGCAATGCTACCACCCTAACTGCTCGAGCCGGAAACCCGAGTGCACCCCCGACTCTCCCTACCCCCCACTTCCCAGCCCCTGTTCTCCCAGTGTTCTCTCTTTGACAGCTCCCAGTCCTTCTGTTCTTGGCAGCCTCTCCGCCACTGAGTGAGGGCCTTATAATCTCTCCCTTGGATGAATAAAGAGCTTCTTAACTGGTCTGCTTACATCTGCTCCTGATCCCTGCAACAAGGATCATCCCCGCAGTCATCTATTCGGGCATTTATTGAGCCCCTGGGGATAGAAAAGAGATGCAAGGTATGTTTCCTGTTCTCCCACAGTTTATAACCTAGTTTGAAATGTGAACCATGCAAACATGAAGGTTCAACATCTGTAGGAAGAAGGGCATGAAGCTGTATTCACAGAATAGGTTGAGGTCATGACCAGCCTTCAACAGCAGACTGGGGACTTTGGAGTTTATCTTGTAGGAAATTGGAATCCATTTTGATTTCAGGAAACAAGTAACAGGATAAAATCAGATTTTTGAGAAAGAACAGTCATAATGGATGATTTATAGGGAAAGGGTTGGTGGCAGGTAGGTAAGTTGGGATATTATAAACCTTCCACCTCAGGGCCTTTGTGCATGCTGTTTTTTCTTCTTGAGACACTCTTCCCCCTCATCCTTTTTTTTTTTTTTTTAAAGATTTTATTTATTTATTTGACAGAGAGAGATACAGCGAGAGCAGAAACACAAGCAGGGGGAATGGGGGAGGGAGAAGCAGGCTTCGCGCGGAGCAGGGAGCCCAACATGGGACTCGATCCCAGGACCCTGGGACCATGACCTGAGCCGAAGGCAGATGCTTAACGACTGAGCCACCCAGGTGCCCTCTTCCCCCTCATCCTTGCTAAGTTAATTCTTTGTACTCAGAGCTCAGTTCAGGTGTCCCTTCCTCATTCCCCGGCTTCCAGACTTGGTCAAATTCTTGTAGTAGGTTCTTATAAGGCCACACCCCTTTTTTGCAGGCACCATCCTCACCCCAATCTCCTTTCCTCTTCCTTATACCGTGGTGGCCGGAAACACTCAATGCTCAACTTCTCAACCTCCTTTAGAGTTAGGAGTGGCTACAGACACCGGTAGAGCCAACAAAATCGAGAAGTTTTCTAGGGGCTCCCAGAATAAGTTCTGGGAGAACTTATTCCTTCCCAATACAAAAGACAGACATTATTGGCTTTACCTCCATTCCCTGACCTTGGGTTTTAGTGCTGGAGAAGTGGCAGCCACTTTGTCAATGAGAAGAAAAGGTTAAGAAAATTGCAGGAATGCTGTCCCTGACGTCACTGAGCCACTGGACCTTCCGAGGGTCCATCATCTCTTACCCAGATGACCGTGATAACCTCTTCACTGCTTGCCCTGCTTCTGCCCACCTGCCCCACAGTCTTGTCTCATCAAAGCAGCCAGAGGAAGACTTTTAAAATGTCAGATCCTTTCACTCCTCTGCTCCAAATCCAGCTCCCCAGAGCTGATTGTTACAATTTCAGGGTATTTGTGAGCTGGTTGTGAAGCCTTAGGTAGCTTGAAATCAGCCATGGTGCAAGTATTATTCCATGGAAATTGGCAAATACTACAAATCAGCACCCCTCCCCTCCAGTCCTGGTTGTTGAATGTTTACCAGCACACCACCACTCCAACAGCTCCCCATCTCACTCAGGATAAAAGCCAAAGTCCTTATAGTGACCAGGAAGGCCCTCCATCATCTCGCCGCTGTGACCACTTGCTCTTCTGTCCTCATACTGACCTTTTTGCTGTTCCTTGAATACGCCTTTGTGCTTGCTGTATGCACACCACTACCCCCAGCCCCCCAGCCCCCCAGCCCCAGGTCTGGAACATTCCTCTAAATAACTGCAAAGCTTTTTCCCTCACTCACTTCCTTCTCTGCTCAAATCTCAGGGTGATAGTGAGTGCTTTCCTGGTTTTCTTCCTAAAATATAAACCCTCTCCTCCTCCCTGCCCTTATCCCTTATCCTGTTTATTTTTCTCCCAGTTAAGTATCACCATCTGATGTTTCTAAATGGGCCTGTTTTGTGTACTGTCTGCCTTTTCCCCTCCTCTAAAAAGTGAGCTCCAATGAAGGTAGGGGCTTTATCTATTTTGATCACTGCTACGGACCTGGCTCTGAAAAAGAACACCTCAACCTCATCCTGGGGAGAGGTGTGGGGCTGGCACGGACAGGCTACCTCTGCTGTTCTCATTGTCACATTCTTTTTTTTTTTTTTTAAGATTTTATTTATTTATTTGACAGAGAGAGAGCCAGTGAGAGAGGGAACACAAGCAGGGGGAGTGGGAGAGGGAGAAGCAGGCTTCTCCGCTAAGCAGGGAGCCCGACGTGGGACTTGATCCCAGGACCCTGGGATCATGACCTGAGCCGAAGGCAGACCTTAATGGACTGAGCTGCCCAGGCGCCCCTCATTGTCACATTCTGTCTGTGGATGCCAGAAATGTTCTGAAGGAGTCATCAGGACTTAATGAGTGAGACGTTTTACATTTGGGGGCCTGGGAGAGAAAGATGGGGCCCTTGAGAAACTAGGAAAATTGGGGGCAGAGGTTTGGAAGGGAGGACAAAGACCTCAGTTTTAAACTCATTTAGTTCTCGCTCCTGTCACAGGTGTAGACAGTGGACAAGGGTGTCTCTGCCTCCCCAGGACCCATGTTCTCTCTGTCAGGTGATAGCGCCCCAGTTTTCCATTGGGGAGCTCATCCTCTCTCCCACTGTGTGCAGTCCTGGTGGGACCTGCCAATCAGAGAAGGATGGGAATCCTGAAGAGTCACACGTGGATGGGAGATGGTGGGAGCCGGGTCACGCCAAGTGGGGGGATTCCTAAAGATCCTGCACCAGGACCCCCAGAAATTTCCTTGGCTGCTGTCCTTTCTGTGGCCCGTTCTTCAGCTTTTCCTTCACCATTTTGCTTTAGCCACAGAGTCTGTGGCTTGCAATCAAAGAACCCTAACTGAGAATACTCTAGGCATCTGACAATGAACGATCCAGATCCAGGGGGCTCCAGGGGGCCTTGGGGATGAAGACATAAATGCAAGGGAAAAGTTACTGATATCTGAAGCCACAAGAGATATTCAGTTCTCCAAACCAGAGCAAATCAGAGGAACATCTCAAGTGACTACAAGCCAGGAAGAAAGGCAGTCAGATCAGATGCTAAGGATGCTTCTTGGTTCCTTGGCCAGGCAAAATGGGTCCCAAAGTCAGAAGCCTCTGGGAGCTGACAGCTAAGTTGAGGAGGGCCATTATCTTGCATCTCTTTGTTTCCCACCCCCTTTCTGCTCCCAAGTCAATCTCATGAATTCCCTTAAGGCTTTTCCTGAAGATAATGTTTTTTGGGACCTCCGGGAGCTTCCTCAGCTCCTCTCAGGGAGGACGAAGGACCTTTGCCCCGTGACCACAGGATGAACTTGAACCAAGTGTTTCACGAACGCATTTCTCCCCATTGTCCCCCAAAGCTCTCAGGCATAAATCAAAACGCCTGAATTCTTCAGAGATTACGGCTGGGAAT